CCCCGCCTTCCCCTCCCGCTCAGCTACAAGGGTTGCGGGGAAGCCATCCTGGGCTCCCACGTCCGTTCACATGGAGAGGTAGACGAAGCCTTGTCCCTGTCCACAGCTCCGCTCCTGGATGTATGCTGTGTACGGGGCCCTGGCGGTGGTGGGCACGATGGGCCCTTGGTACCTGCTGCTGCTGCTCGGCCATTGCGTGGGCCTCTACGTTGTCTCACTCTTGCACCAGCCCTGGCTCTGTCTCGGCCTCGGCCTGGCCAGCCTTGCCTCCTTCAAGCTGGACCCCCTCACCTCCTGGCAGGTGTGCGCTGGGGCGGGGCAGGGGTGGAGGGTGCAGGGATAGGACCCCAAACCCCTCACCCCATCCAAAACGTTTGCCTCCTAAGTCTCCCCAAGCATTTCCTTCACCTTCCCACCCGTCTTCACGCCTTTGACCATGGGGCATGCCCTGCCCACAAGGTGGTCGCCTCCACCGCAGCAGAGACACGTCCAGCTCCTTCCCTGCTCTGCCCCAGCACTTAACATGAAATTGGCCCTCGGTGGCCAGTGTTGACGGGCGCTGGCAGAGAGGGTGATGGCAGGACCAGGCTGGGCCCCTGCAGGAGGCTGGGCGGGCTTCCCAGAGACCAGGGGCACGCCGGTGAGCTGGCGGCCCGTTCTCTCCCATCCAGAGCGGGCTTGTAACGGGGACCTCTGATCTTCAAGAGGTGCTGTTTCACGGGGGCAGCGGTTTCACGGCTCTGCGCTGTACCAGCTTTGCGCTGGAGAGCTGTGCCCACCCCGGCCGCCGCTACTGCCTAGCTGACCTGCTCAAGTACAACTTCTACCTGCCCTTCTTCTACTTCGGGCCCATTATGACCTTTGATCGCTTCCACGCTCAGGTGAGGGGACACCCCGTGGGCTCCCAAGACAGGACTGCGCCCCCCCCCGGCGGAAGTGCACCCCCTCAGACCCCAGAGGGGCCCGTGTCTCCACTCTCAGGGCTGCCAGGATGAAGCCGCGTCTCCCCTCCCCCTCGCGTCCCCTGACAGCTAGTTCGTGA